TGATAAAATTTCACGTGTTAAAAGAGGACTCTAAAAATGATTTATTTTCATTTAGGTTTAGGAAATATATATTTTTCAGCAAACAGATCAGATGAATATATTGTAGCATTCATTAAAATATTTAAATGGGTATTGCGTGTGAACTCATCCAATTATTATTTGAATGACAATGGTGGGTAGAAAGATAAAAAAGTTAATGTTTCTTTCTTTAAGGGAAAAATAATGTGAATCCCCACCTTATATCAGAGAAGGCTTTGAAGCTATAATGGACACGAGTCTAAATTAAATGTACGTATGGTGCATTATATTGCTCTGAGGACTACTGAGGTGACAGTTTAATTTTTAAGAACACTAAAATGGATGCATAAATACTAAAAAATAAAACAATATCAGGGAAAGGGAAAACAAAGGTAGGATAAATAGTAAATTTGAGTCCAAGGTAAAGTTGAAATGAAAAAATTTGAATCATTAAATCCTGCACTGTTGTTAATGATGGATGAAATGTGGTTAAAGCAAAGAGGCAAGATAAAAGCATGCACATTTCATGGAGAATGTTAAGTAAAAGTTCTCTTGAGGGTGCTCATAAAATGGTCACTGTGTAATATAGGGTGGTGATTTCTGATTCTGACAGCATGAAAGAATCTCTTGGAGGGTTAGCTAAAAATAGCCTCCTTTGCCTTATACCCATAATATTTTGAATCAGTAGTTTTGGGGGATGTATGGGGTTTAGTAACCTGTCCTTTCATAAATATCCCTGGTGATTTGGATGCAGCTGCCTCATAAATTTAGTCACTAGTCACCTAGTCTCTACTCTAGGAAGCCTACTATCCATTCTATACCCAGCAACCAAGGTAATCATTTGAGAATGGAAATCAGCTCTCAAATGGTTTTGTGCTGCACTTCAAGTCCAATTCCTTTTTTCATGACTGTATATGATTAGACTGTTAGAATCCTGGTGAATTTTCCAAACTCATGACCTAACCATCTCTCTCCATTCCCTCTATTCTAGCCATACAATCTTTTTAAAAAAATCCTTGGACCACTAAGCTCATTCCTGCCTCTGCATTTTGCACTTGCTGATTTTTTCTCCCTGGACCATCTTCCTACAGATCTTCTTAAGGCTAGCTTTTTCACTTCGTGTCTCTGTTCAAATGTCTTCCCTAGCTACCCTGTGGAAAATAGTACCTCCTCTGCCCCTATATCTCCTAGCCCTGCTTCATTTTCCTTCATTGCCTTATCACTACCTGTTATTATTTAACTATTAATACTTGCTTTCTTATTTTTGTTTCCTCCATAAAAATATAATTTCCAAGAGAAGTGGGTCTTTGAACTGGTCCATCAATAGAAGGATGAAAAGTGATATATAATTATAAAGCAATTTTATTTTTGTTTCTTGCTGTTTTCTTCTTTTTTTTTCATTTTTCCCAGGTGAAAATTGGGGCCATTTTAGAACTTTTCTCTACACTCTTAGATAAATGGGAAGCCCTCTGGTTAGTGATTAAAACGTCCAGTCTGATGTGATGATCAAACTCCAGAACTGATTTAAAGTTGA